TTAAAGGTCTCCCACCCCCCGCACAGTAGTTCATGACATAACGTGAACCCTACAGGACACATTGGTGTAAATATACATGTTGAGACCAAACACACCCAAAGTCACGCATGTCCATTGGGTTTGGTCATAGCCATGAGACTGATCTGAAATTGCAAGTGGCATAGCACGTGGAGCTACCACTGTCGTGGTGACCGTGGATGCGGCCAATGCTCCCCGCGAGGCGTCCGTGACCGCGGTGCGGAAATGGGTTGCTTTGCTCATGTTCAGACCTCGTATTCCGAGTGACAGGCACTGCTGTGTGAGTTCAAACCAGAACGGCAGAGGAGAGCAGGAATGCTGATCCTCCCTAAGGCACTGCAATATCACCCTGGCATCTGTCCTCATGCCACAGGCTCGTGCGCTGTATCAGTTGCGCCCAAGGCCATACATTCAGCATACCGACCAGATGTCTGACCTGACCTTTAAAGCACAGTAGGTACAGAGATTCTTGGACACGCTCCCTGTTAAGCTGGACTATCCCATGAGGATCTGCAACCTTCGTCCTTTTGTCTTTCAAGGGTTAGCGTTAGGGCACAGAGGGCGATGAGCTGGCTTGGTGACCAGCTGCCCCTTCCTCGGAGTCCTTTGGTATTTCGAGTTGGATGGACAGGTTGGGCCAGGGGCCCCTGGGAGAGCGGCAGGATTCGGGACCATTTACCTGGCAGTCACAGGGTCATCTACACACCAAAAGCAATGGTGCACAGCAGGTAACACGAGGCAGGGAGGCAAGCTGCTTCATGCTGAACCATGCGCAGCACTGCCACCCTGCCAGTTGGGATGTGCACACAGCACGGAGCCCTTCTCTCTAGGTAGGTACAAGAGGATGCTGTATCGTAGTCCCACAGTGTGAATAATTTGGCAAAGGCAGGGCCAGAAAGAGCGTGTCCTGAAGGACTGTGGTAGGCACGGCAGGTGGGCTGGGTGTCTTTTGTGGGCACTGGTTAGTCCAAGTTCCATATCACAGTGATAATCTTAAAGAATAGGGAAGAAACCCAACCCCATCCCCTTGAAACAGAAGCCCCCTTGGTCACTCACCTGACTCCTCTGTACTCCAAAGCAATCCAACCAGTTAAACATGGCTTAGCCATTCATTCCACAATGTCCTGCAGCCAGGGGAGTTCAATCTATTCCCAACGAGAGAGGTGTTGTCCTCTCCATGGTGGCCCTTTGGACCACCCTTCACCTGTCAACTGTGCTGCTTCTACGCAAAGAAAGATAGCCAGCAGACTTCTCCTCCAGCCTGCCCACAAGGATAAACAGCCACCCACTTCCCCCCAGCTGCATCCTTTGCATGCACCTGCACTGCCCTCCACCCTGCCTTGAATAGAAGTAAACATGAAGATAAACTAAGAGGCACTAATAGCGCAGAATACTAGGATCCTCAGGCTTGCAACTTTCAAGCCTGGCTCCAAAAGTCTTCATCCAGCTGCAGGGAGCCCGGGTCTCCGCTTTAGATCTCCTGCAGCGAGTGGCCGGGGTCGCTGCGCTCTCGCTTCACTAGCGGCTCGCCCATGCTCCGGGCGTCTGCATCCACCTCGCTTCCCAAGTCGCTGATATCATCTGCAGAGGGCGATTCACAGATCGGCATGTTGAATCACTGGAAGACGGGGGAAAAAGGTGCCTCGGGGCACGGTCCCCAGTATTTATCCTGATGGGGCATTCTGGAAACGGATCGTGCCCTGCGAGTGCCTGAGCGTAACATCCCCCTCCCCAACCAGTGAGCCCAAACCCTAGGCTAAGGGACCTACATTTAGGGGAGAAGATGCCAATAGCTGGAAGATACCTTTATCTAGTAGCGTTGATGACATGGAGGCCAGGTCACTGAACTGAAAAAGAAGAGATTCTGGATGAGGGAGGTTTGAAGAGCAGAGGGCAGGAGGTATCGGCATGCACCTGCCAGCTCTTTCTAAACTGCTCTAACAGGTTATTTAAAACACTTAACAGAAACCACAAATCACAATGGCCCATTTCCAAGCACCACATGCGGTGGGGTCACTTCAGAGACTGTTCAGAGCTGTCAGGGCTTTGATCAGTACAGGCCACATGTTGCTGTAGGTGGGTGGAGAGGCTTCTTGTCTAAAATCCAGGAGCAAGCCTTCAGCCAGCATGCACAAAATCCCCAAATCAAGGTGCAGAGCTGGCTTGCAAAGGTAAAAGGAGAAGCTCGGTGGTCCATTTTGAAAACCAGAGCAGACCACCACTGACAGAGGCTTGGTCCTGTGTTTTGTTTGAAAACTGAAGAGTCAACAGCCAACAGGGACATTACTGCAGCCGTCCTCACCAGCCAGTGAAATGCTCTGCTGAGCAAGACATACCAGTCTCTTGCTATTTTACTGTCATGCCACTTGTGCAGACTCTGAAGACAAGGACTGCACGTGACACAGGTGTGCCATGGGGCACGGCAAGATGCTAATGAAGCGGGGTCAGATGGTAAAAGGCACTGCCTGGTTCTGTGGGCAGAGCAGGCAGCAGCAGCGAGAGGTCCCCTCATGCTGCCCTCACCTCTGATTGAGAGGGTCCATCTTCAGTCAACCTTTGGCCGCTGTTTTGAGACTCGTCAAGGGACTCAATTTGTGTCAGTGGAGGGGCTAGTGGTGGAGACACCACTCTGGTAGGAATGGCACCGTTATCCCAGCCGATCTGCTCACATAAATAGAGTATCCAGGATTTGATAGCAACGCAGTCCACAGCAAGGATGCGCTCTGTAAGGAGGGGGCTAGCTGAGCTGTGAAGCCTGGATGTCTGTTTACAGGGCTTTAAACCCACCCTGGCAAATGTCAGCTCCTTCTGTAGGTGCTAAATGACCAGTGCTGAGTGACCTGCCAGCATCCAAACTCAGGTATTGGTTTCTTCTATCCTCATGGGCATGAACACTGAGAACATAGAGCTGGAAGGGCCTTCCAGAGATCACTGAGTCCATGGCTCCAAGATACTTTGCATATATTAGGGCCCCTATTCTTTCTACTCTGCTCCTAGCAGCAGTCAATGGATGATAACAAACACTGCCATCTTTAAATAGCAACTTTACGTCAGCTGAATTAGTCAGATACTTATTTTTGTATCAGATACCACAGCCAGGTCCCATGCAATGATAAATATTCCTCTCTTACTCTTTGACGTGCCTTATTTTATAGTAATGAGTGCACCACTATGTACCCATGAAAAGCAGAGCCAGACAATAAGCAATAAAAATACTGTGGGGAATTTAAATGGGAGGATGGGATTAGTTCTCTTTTGCTCTCCAGAATCATCCTTCTCTGAGAGTTTATGGAATATAAAAATATTTACAAGAGTCTAACTGTGAAGCAGTAACAGCCCCAGTTTAGTTTTTATTAGAAGTGGAAACAGAACTAACCCGAGGCCATTTCGTTTCCTTAAATTTCAATGAAAACAACATTTTTGGAGTGTAGATAATGCCCTGCAGGGTTGAAAACCTGCCAAAAACAGCTGTGGGCTCCCTGGTGAGAAGCAAATTAGGAGCGACTCTAGGCAGAAGAGGGCACTGCCTGGCTGATTTTCCTTGAGTGAATGGCATGAAGAGGAAAGCATATTCTGACAGCCTGGAGTGCACAGAGAAATTGCGTTTTTCAATTAACCCATTTTGAGCTCATAGGTTATTGATACCAGCAAGAACCTGTCCTATGGAACATTTCATATCTGGACCATTACCCTTTAAAAGGATGCAGTCATACTGCATCTTGTCAGCTTATGGGGCGATCTGGAAACTGCTGCAGGTACGGACAACTGTGTCCAAGGATCAGTGCCAAATCTGATGGTTTTATTTTCATGTTTTCTGATCTAAAAATGTATGGGTGTTTTTCTTCTCTCTTGAACCCAATGGGGAGAGAAAAAAAGAAAGCTTGAAGAGCAGCCTTGGGTAGTTGGGTGCTCACTGCCACTGAAAGCCAGTTGAAGATGGGCACTTAACTCCCCAAAGTGCCATCAAATGCACTAAACAAGTCACATGAAAAGAAAACCTGACTTCTTTCCAGCCACGGGGAGCAAAAGCACCTGTCTTGAGCCAACTTTAGCCCAGCTGGCAGAGGGGTTGAGCACTCGTAGCTCCCATTGAGTCAATCAAGAAGGAGATGCCATGAGTCAGGGCCACAGGTATCTCTAGTTAGGCACCAAAATATTATCAGGCCCTTCAGAAAACATGTTCTGAATTCAGGGTGGTGTTCAAGTTGGCAGCGTCCCTTTAAGCCGTGCTGGGTTTGGGTTCTGTTACTAGGGCACAGACAGTTCTCACCTCTCCCATTACAGCAATCGGCGTTTCCCCTGTTGCCTGGGCAACACGATGCTCTACCAGATAAAACATGTATTCGTCATAGAGCAGGCGAATCAGGTGAAAGGAACCAAAGCTGGCAGCGCTGCGCAAGGTGAGGTCACGGATCACCATGGAGCTGGAGAGCAATTGGGAAACAAAATATTTTGGACACGTTTTAGAACTAGATTGTAACTGGTGTGAACTCTACACCAAGGAATCGCATAAGGAATGCCATGTTCTAGCAGGGCCAGTACTATACTTTCATCCTGCACACGAAGATCTCAGTAATGACCCCCTGGATTATTATCCCACTTTAGAGATTGAGGCCCTCCTTGTCTTGGCTCCTCCAATCTCCATTGTCCTGAATCTTCCACAGCAGGGCGGAGTGATTTAGCAGAAGACACTTTTTATACCCCAGGCAGGGTCAGATGTGTTTCCAGGACAAGAAGGCAACGTACCTATAGAAGGACCACTTCAGGAGGAACTGTCTCGCGGCCTTGGGGAAGCTGGGGCTGCCCTCATGGTGCTTGAGAACTTGGGTGACAACGTTATCAAGCCAGCTGGCCCACTGGTCCAAAGAGCTCTGCTGCTGTAGTGTGAGTTTGAAGTCCTGCTCCAGCTTCTGCACCGTGCCTTCTTCACACTGGCACACCCATGAGGCTTGCTCCTGGGACGGCAGAAGGGGAGATTCTAGGAATCAAGGGTTATAAGCACAAACAAGGACTGCTGTTCATTTTTGGTGGGCCTGAACTCAGGAGTGTGACTGTGCTTCCAGCAAAGGAAAAGTTTCCAAGTCAGGGCCAAACCAGGTCTTTTCAAACATATCTAGAGCACAGACCTCAGCTTATGAAGTAATTGCCTTGTGGACACCTCTACAATTCAGGTTTTCATGATGTCCTTTATCAGCTACAGCAACTACTTCCCTGGAAGAGTAATACTGTGTTTCATGTGCCTTTAACTTCTTTTAGTACTGCTTAGCAGCTGGGAATGAGGAGGGACCAGTACAATGCGAAACACCAGCTCTCCACAGGCCAACATAGTTGGAGAATCCCTGAACTAAGGCTTGGGACAGACATTCAAAAAGCCTGAGCCTGAATTGATTCAATTTTTGCAGGTTGCTCTAACCTGGCTAGGCTAAACCGGTTTGTAACTGCACAAACATCCCCTCTGGACTGAAGAAATGCAGGCGTATGCCTGCAGTGGCTTAGGCTAGAAGCTGGGTGGGGCTAGAGCAGCCCTCCCTTTCCTTCCATAGTGCTGAGCTGATGGGGTGGGGGGCATGGCCAGGCCCTGGCAGGATGCTCTGATTTAGGTAGGGGTTCTCCCGCCCCCATATAACAGAGCATTGAGTTACACAGCAGAGAGTTACACAGAGATTTGTTAGCATTTATCAGCCCATCAAACAAAACAACACGGTCTCTCTCATTCATTCAAGCTTTTCTTAAACAACTTTTTCCAAGGAAGGAACAGAGGGGCATTCCCAGCTACCGGCTGATTAGCTCCAAAAAGTAAGCCGACACTGTCTTGTCTGCCTTTGTCCCATCTTCCACAGCACAGACTGTAGCCAGCATGTGGTATGCTAGCTAATGAGAGGTGTCTGTGTAAGGCAGACGGGAGGGGGGAATCCCTGCTTGAGCAGGGAGTGGGGAGGGAGTGAAGCAGGGGGAAGCCAGGCAGATGCCTGCAGTCTCTGCTGGAGCTCCAGCCAGGGAGCAGAGGGGCGGAGCAGATAGCCCTGCCCAGAGAGCATGCTGGGATGCTGGGGCACTCTGATTTAACTTAAACCAGGAAGGGATCTGGGACAGACATTGCATAAACTGGTTTGACCCAAATCAGTTAAGTCTGATACTATATTCAACCAGGTTTATCTCAAACCAGTTTCAGCCATTTTCAAACTGGTTTATGTGCGCTGAACATCTGTTACAGGTTTAAACCAGTTTCTGATCACTTAAACTGGTTTATGTGTAATGTCTGTCCCTAGCCCAAGTGACTGGGCCCAAATAAAGCATCATGAAGTTGCTTACCTGCACGTTGGCAAAGTCCACCCGATTGAGGTCACTGAGCATCTGGTTGATCTGGGAAGTGTTCTGGAGCACGGCACGAGCTGCCTGAGCGAGATGGTTCAGGGATGTGTATCTCCGTAATGTCTGAGCAAAGGCACTCACTACTGCAACCTGTAACAGAGCAAGCCCAGGCACGGGCCATAACAGTTACACATGGATCTTTCAAAATATTTGGACTGCAAGTGCTCAGACACCCCAGGATCTCGAATACATGCACAGTATTCTTCCTTTGCTGTTGCTTCTTCAAGTGTCTGCAAGCCATCACGAGTGCAACATGCCCATTGCAAGAACCAGCTGCATCTCCCTGTAGCTGTCCATTTACTTTGTCTGGAGCAGCAGGCAGAAGGCAAGCCCTGCAAGCCAGGTCAGCAGGATGGGGGCATGTTGCAATCAGTGCAAGAACAAGAGGAAAACTTAAAAAGCTTGGGTAAATGTATCAGATTAGACAATGTAATGCTTACGTAACAAAGGAAGAACTGAGCAACAGGGAAGACGCTGAATTTGGACCAGGCCTGCCAATACTGGCTGCACTCCTGCTCTTCCTTTGAGTGGGGCAGGAGTCTATTGCAGACAGTCTGCTGCAAGTTGCTTTATCTATTAATTCAGGACGTGGCAGTTGCTCATGGACACGGTGCCTAAATAATCGTTATGCAGGGGTCCTATATCTGGGGCCTGGAATTAGAAATGGCAAATCGCGGCCTCACATGTCTCTCTCAAGAAACAGCAGCTGTGACATATGTCCCCTGAAGAAATCTGACAATGTTCAAGTGCCTGCAGTGATGTGAAAGGGGTCTCTCCCCATGTCTTGCTATTTCAGTCCTGGGTCGCTGTTTATTATGCCGAGTTCAGATTGATGCACACCCAGCTGGACAAGAGGTGAACAGTGCAGATGCGATGGGGTGTAACAGAGCTGCATGGTTAGAAGTGAGGCCAGTGGACCCATTGCCATGAGCCTGAAATGCCAGTCCAGGGAACCAGTCAAGTAGATTGGAACCATAGTGCAAAACCACAGCAAAAAACGCACCCTGTTTATAACTCACTCCTTTGTCCATTTACCTTGGTCTGGACTATCTGTGGTGGGAAGTCACTCATTGCATTCATCAGCCAACCTTCCAAACTCTTTGCAAAATTGCGGATGGCCTGCGTCAAAGTGCCTACGAGAGAGAAATCAGTTAGAGGGGCTTTTCCAAGGGGTTGAGGGATCGCTGTCAAACTAAGGCTGCTCTGGGAGTCAACGGTTATGGGATCCACAACCATATCTTGATTTAGTGCCACAAGAGACCAACAAAGTTAAAGAGGAATCAAGAGAAAACAGCCAGCTACGGGACTGAATGGCATCGTAGGCTGTGATTTTTATACAACAAATCCAAGAGCTCCTCTTTAGTATTCAAGGAACAGGCAAACATTTTCTGTTACTAGTGGGGTCTGTTCTCTTTGATGTACTCATGCAAAGAATAGTAATTAAGTAGTGAGGACCATTTCCAATCTACTCAGCACAATAAGGATAGTTAGGCTTCCATGCAAGAAGTACTTGCTGGGCTAATAAAAGGGTTTTAATAAAGACTGTGGCTAACATTTTCAAACCTGAACCCCTAAAGACAGGCTCCTAAGTGTGCTTTAGAGTTGACAACTAAATAAAGAGTGCTCCAATCTGTAGAGATGTACTGATGTGAATGGAAACTGAAGAACACTTCTGAAAAAAATCAGGCCACTTATTTTGTTGTCCAATACAGAATTAGGAGAGCCAATCCACTTACCAAATCTCCTCAGATCTGGGTCTCTCTTCTTTTATAAAGCTACACTGCAAAAGCAGTCATGGGTGTGTTATTTTCTTTTTGATTTTTAAATCAAAAGAAAATTCACTGGGTATTTTTCAAATGTCAGGTCACAACAACAAAAGCTTTTGCAATCTTTGTGCTGGGGTTGTAGTAAACAATTGAACCCATAGGGATAGGAATAGCAGTGAAACGAAAATAAAAGCCTTCTCTTATATAATTGCCATTTGCCCACAATTTCAAATTGGTAAAAGATGCACAGGTACCAGGAATTCAGCAGCCACTCTTCTCATGCATTTCCTGGTCAGACCAGGCAACCTGGCAAGGGTGTCTTCCTTGTTGCTCTGCTCCCTGCAGCAGTGAGAACTTGGGGGAAATGGCTGGATGGCCATCAGAGAAGTCGAGCTTTACGATCCCAGCTTTTTTCTATTAAAATGATCAATTTAAAATACTTCTATAGCTCTGATTGCTATAGCTCTTGAGCAGCTCTCATCACTCAGGTATGGCTGGTCCTTGCTAGTGTCCCCTTTTTACAGGGAACTGAGACACAAAGACTAAGTGATTTACCCGGGTCACATAGGTAGCTTATGGCAAGGCAGGAACTTGAGGCCACATCTTTTCTGGCTAGCATCCTATGCTGGCGTTTAGCAGACCAACCTTTTTACCTGGCAAAAGACAGGCAAGGCAGGATGCTTTGGTTTTCTGTCTACTCATGGGTGTACTGACAACAGCAACTTGCCAGCAGCACCCGCTGACTAGCAGGTTTTTTTTTTCCAGTATTGACTTGGGCTGAGTTTGAACTAATGAATTATGGACTCATCTGGCAAAACACCCAATGCTCAATTCTCACTGCCTTCAGTGAGGCTTAGCATATACTCAGGTGGCTGGTTGAATCAGCACCTTAGACAAATGATATTCCCCAAGGACTATGAATCTATAAAGAGAGAAACTGCCCCAAAAAGTCCAGGATGCATCATACAGTCAGAACAATCAGACATAACAGAAAGACACATCTCTAAGAAAATATCTAATAAGGATTAACTGTGCTTAAATGCAGTCTATGCATATTAAGCCTATGTCTTTCACCTTGGCTCCTAGCCAAAACTTGAGGCTGGGATAATGTGATGAACTGAATTTTGCAAGGAGAGGAAAATATATCTAGGTCTCCAAGAGCCATGATATGCTGCACAACTAAGAATAATTACAGATAGAGGTTGTGTTGCTATAACATACAAGCCCCAATTCAAAACAAAAGCCTTCTAAATTAGCCTTCGCAATGGAAATCTGGGGCAAGTGATAGCTAGCCAAGGTGACTCATTGATCTCTGCTGAGACTCAGGAGCAAGACGGCAAGAAACATGAAGGAACAAAAATGGACAAGGGTCTGGGCTGTCAATACTGCTCTGATCATTGCACAAGATACTCACTGGGCACAGGCCGCAGCACGTCAGGGATGAGGATCTCCACCAGGGTCTGATACAGGATGTGATCGCAGCTCCTCATCCACTTCGAGATGGGTTCGTATTTACACAAAGTGATCAGCTTGTCTTTTGGGAGGACCCCTTCATGCTCCTCCTCGCTGCATGGCAGAGAGTAACACGCTGTTAACAGCAGTCTCATTTAGTGCGTGAACACAACACACAACAGTTGCCTTCTCCTTTCTGTCTCAGTAGTTCCTGTGTTCCCTTTCTAAAATATGCAGCTCAAAACACAACCTTCCTCCAGGAATCAAAACTCGTAGAAGAGGTGATATCTTTTATTAGACCAATTAGATATTTGCAAACAAATTATTTTATTTATTTGCAAGCTTTTGGGCGCACACACCCTTCATCATGCATAGGAGAGAGCAAAGATTATAAAAGTTCTCCTAGGTAGAAATGAAAATTCATATTTCATAGAACAGCCTAAGGTGTGGTAAAATTTCCTGTTTGGAATAGTTCATTTTGTCCAAGTTAGGCACAGAGAAAGGTTGAAAAAGTCTTTTTACCTCGAAGTTGTCTGGTGGGAAGCAAGACGTAGAAGCATATTACAGAAGAGTGGAGAGCTGGAAAGCTCTTCTGGGCAGGGATTTCTTTTGTGGTGAGCTATCTATGCATCTCTGTGCTCTGTGAGATGCAAATTCACTCCAACAATGGTAGGAGCCTGCTGTTAGTGTGGTAAAATACTTCCTTCTTGTAAAATTATGAACTTGTCATTTTAAAAGGTGGCTAAAATAGGATAACTTCCATATCATTTCAAATAACTTGCTTGCAAATATCTAGTTGGTCTAATAAAAGGTATCACCTCTTCCACGAGTTTTGATTCCTTTCGCCTCTACACCAATATGGCTACAACCCGGACACCTAACCTTCCTTCAGTGCTTTCCATTAGCATGATACAGCAATGCCCAACAATCCCACCTATTCCATTTATACTGATGCAATTGTGTGGACTGAAAGTTTTGCATGGAAGACACACAATCAGATTAACATGCACTCTCAGGGGTGTATTGTCAATCAGTATCAAACATGCCTGAAAACCAAACACTGACATTATTTCCAGAGAGGAAAAGCCAGCTCCATATTGTGCTAAGAACACGAGGCACTGCCTTCAAGCAAATAAGGTCAACTTTGCCTGCATTAATTTCACTTTATAGATGAACCAAAAGGTCTTTTGCATGACTGAGCCACTAAACATTTGGTTAAGCAGTACAAAGACAGAAGTTGACATCTTATTAATGAACAGGCACAAAATCAAATTAGAACCTTTTGAATACTGTGCTGGGAATAGAGGTGCCTGCCTTATAGGATACACCAAACCCATTGGAGCCAAGGCATCACATTTGAATTGCTACTTCACTGTCTAAGACATCCCTCATTGTTGACATAATGAAAGTGCAGTGGCATCCTCTTTTAGCAAAGGAGAAAAGCTGAATAACCATGCTTTGCTTTTCATAGAACTGTATTTTGCATATTGTGTCATATTTGAATCAAAGTATTTCACTCCACTTCCTTATAAAGGTTTATTTATATCCAAGTTCATTATCTGTAGGATGAACTGTAAAACCAGGGTGATTTTCTTTGTTAGAAAGCTTTGCTAAGAGATACTGAATAGGGAGAGCCCCAACTGTTATGACATTGGGCAGCGTTTTGGGATGACAAGTATCTTTTAGCCAGCTACCTATCCTCAGCCACATGCTGAGGTTGTCAACAGCCTATGCCATCTGCCTTTGCAATTTACTCACTCAGGCCCCAACCCTGCAGATATGTACACACACAGGCTTAATTTGAGAGACTGTGGGTGTTTGTACACGCAGCAATTTTTGCCCTTTTCTGTGCTTTATGAAGAGTTTCACTGAAGTCAACAGACCTACTCACAGTGCATAAAGTTAAGCACATGTATAAGTAGGGTCAATCTTATATTAAACAGAGGCTCAGGTCTTCCCAGACTGTGCACCATCCCTGCAATAAGATATATATATATAGATAGATAGATAGCTATATCCATCTATCTAGATAGCTATATCCATCTATCTAGATAGACAGACAGACAGATAATTGTTTGTAATGACACCTTGATGTTCTACAATTGTACCCCTATTACAATGCATGCTTATTTCTGTTTCCTACCCATGACCCAAGCTAATTTATTTCACTTCTCAGAGCTAACACAACTTCAGTGCTTCTGGTGCCCAAGTGAGCTCCTTTCATAGCGTGGGCATCTCCACATGGCACTGCATTGTGCAGTGTGGACATGTCATTAACCAACAATTATTCAGAATGAGAAATGGGGTTGCACTGCTTCTTTGTAGGGATGCATTCATAGAGCTCTATCTGAGCACAAGACAATAATTTTATAATTATTAGGGGAACAAGGAGATTTTTCTCCTTATTTCCCAAACTTTCACAACCCTTATTCTGACTATACAAACAGCAGCATTGACTATGTTCAGTGAAAGAGGTTACTCCATGGACTTCAACGCAATTCTAACAAGAGACCTTTTCAGTTTCATCTATTTTCACTCACTGTTCATTTCCCTGTCTCCAGGCAGCAGGTTACCAATGCATAGAGGGGAGAATAGGGAATAAAGATGAGCCTGGCCTGAGTACAAAGAGAAAGATCAAAGTAGCATAGTTTGTCATTATCTTCCCCAGGACACAAGGCGTTTTTTTAATTTTGATAGCAACATGAATTAGTATCCCAGTTGGTCTAAATGTCACAGTGATCTTTGCCTTTGAGATGTCATTCTATAACAACACTCAGCAGAGTTATAACTGTCTACTCATATTGGCCTTCTACAAAAACAGCAACCCATGCCTGTTAGTCAAACCTATGGTGTTACATCCACTGTGGATTAATTTCTGGTCATCGAGAATGTCAAATAAATGCATTGTAAAATCTTTTCATTAACCATTAATTCTACTGCATTTCACAGAGCTCTGCTTTTGACATTTCATTACTACAGCGTTGGGCAAAATGCAGCCCATGGGCCGGATGCGACCTGCCGGGCCATTCTATCCAGCCTGGGGGCCCCTAAAAAATTTAGAAAAGTCATATTTATCTGTCCCTGGCTGCCTGTCATGTGGCCCTTGATGGCTTGCCAAAACTCAGTAAGTGGCCCTCCATCCAAAATAATTGCCTGCCCCTGCATTACTATAATGCATTTCTTACTCTTTTCCTAGGATAGCACCTGATCCTGCCTTGTATTAAATACCTGCAACCCTTGCAGATCAGTAAAGCAAATCAAAAGGCTTACTGAAGTTATAAAGCTAAACACAGTTGTCTCCAAAAGGGAAAAGAGTACTAAGAACTGGGTCACTCAATTAGCAAAATTAGGTGTGTACGGTCTACCTGGACGGCATGGGAGTGGAGCCATCGCTAGGTGGTGTTTTAGGACTCCAGAATGACTGCCACAGCTTCTCAATGTAGTGAAACTGAAGATTCATCACAACATCTAAAGTGGCCTAAAAAGACAGATAACCAATAAAATGCTTTGATAGCATGCTTATGACAAGGCTTTATGGGAGGACAATAGATTACACAAGGGAGAACAATCTATCTCATGTTGTTTTAATGAACATCAGACTATAAGCAGATCGCATGAGAAGGAGGTAACTTGGACAATGATAATTGGCCAACTAGAAACAATCCTGTCCCGAACTCAGCTTCTTACGAGAGCAGGACTGGAGTAGGAAGGGCACGGAAAGTAAGGCTCTGTATCAAAAACAGTTCCTGAATGATCACCTCACAGTGTCGTCTGTAAAGAAGCTGAAGAGCCTTTATATCGTTCATGGTGACCCCTTCTTGCAAGAGGGTATTTCCAAGATCAGGTGCTGGGAACTCAGGAAAGCCATGGGTTACATCTAGGGAAAAAGTTTGGGAAAGATGGTGAATTTTAACCAGAACTCGGTGTTTTCTAGGACTGCAATTTAGGATGAGATTTTGCAACAGCTGGTGGCTATATTTCACATTTCAAATAACTAATGGCTGATAAGTAAAGCAAGACTGTTAATGTAATACCTCCATGATTCACTCAATTGTACTTTAAAGAAAAAACCCCCCACCTCAGGCCATTTAGTCACTGGAGAAACAAGAATGTTTTTATCACAGCTACAAGGAAAGAAACATGAATGCATTGTACTTTTATAATGTGCTTCCCATTATGTTTTCTCTAAAGTCTGAACAAACATCCCTTTGGTATTTTAAGACTACAATGGGAAATTTAATTGGATGGCAGACCTCTCCAGTGCATTTTAGTGAACACTTAGAGATGGCCGTCTTTGTGTTGTTGTTAAGACAGTCTGAAAAGAAGAAAAACTGAGACAACCCACCCACAAATTGGTTAAAAGGGAAGTAACTTGGTTCTCACTCTTCCTGTGCCCAATTTTATTTCTCATGGATCCCTTTAAAGGGGAAGACTAGCCCCAACTACATCATCCTAGCCAAGGCTTTGTCAAGCCAGGCCTTAAAAACCTCCAAGAAGGCAGATTGCACCACCTCTCTAGGTAACCCATTCCACTTGATACCGGCTGCCAACTAGACATTGAGCCATTGATTACAACCCTCTGAGCCTGTTGCTCCAGCCAGTTTTCTATCCATCTTACAGTCCATTCATCCAATCCATACTTCCTTAGCATGCTTGCAAGAATGCTTGGGAGATGGTATTAGAAGCCTTGCTCAAGTCAAGGTGTATAATGTTCACTGGTCTCCCCACATACACAGAGCCAGTCATCTCATAGTAGGTAATCACACGCTGGTCAGGCATGACTTGCTCTTGCTGAGTCCATGCTGACTGTTCTTGATCACTACCTTCTCCTCCGAGTGCTTAGAAATGGATTCCTTGAAGACCTGCACCAGGATTTTTCTGGGGACTGAGGTGAGGCCAACCAGTCTGTAGTTCCCTGGATCATCCCTTTCTTAAAGATGGGCACTATATTTGCCCTTTTCCAATCATCCAGGGCCTCCCCCAACCAGCACAAGTTTTCAAAGATGATGGCCAGCAGCTCTGCAGTCGCATCAGCAAGCTCCCTCAGCACCCTCGGGTGCATCCCATCCAGCCTCATGGACTTGTACACGTCTTGCTTTTTTAAATAGTCCTTAACCTGTTCTTTCACCACTGCTGGCTACTTGCCTTTTCCCCAAACTGTGCTGCCTGGTGCAGTAGTCTGGGAGCTGACCTTGCCTGTGAAGACCAAGGTAAAAAAGACATTGAGTATTTCAGCCTTTTCTTCATCGTCTGTCACTAGGTTGCCTCCCCCATTCAGTAATGGACCCAACACTTTCCCTAACCTTCCTCTTGTTGCTAACATCCTTGTAGAAACCCTTCTTGTTACCTTCACATCCCTTGCTAGCTGCAACTCCAGTTGCGCTTGGGCCCTTCTGACTTCATCCCTGCACGCCCGAGCAATCATCTTATACTCCTCCCTAGTCATTTGTCCAAGCTTCCACCTCTTGTAAGCTTCATTTTTGCATTTCAGCTCACCAAAGAGCTCTCTGCTAAGCCAAGCTGGTCACTTGCCACATTTGCTATTCTTCCTGGACTTTGTGATGGTTTATACCTGTGCCCTCAGAAAGGTTTCTTTAAAATACAGCCAGCTCTCCTAGTCTCCTCTCCCCCTCAGCCTGGCCTCCCAGGGGATCCTGCTCATCGGCTCCTGGAGGGAATCAAAGTCTGCTTTTCTGAAGTCCAGGGTCCATACTCTGCTGCTCTCCTTTCTTCCTTTTGAAAGGTTCCTAACCTCAATCATCTCATGGTCACTGCTGCCCAAGTTGCCATCCACTACTACATCTCCCGCCAATTCCTCCTTGTTTGTGAGCAGCAGGTCAAGAAGAGCATGGCCCCTAGCTGGCCTCTTCAACACCTGCACCAGGACGTTGTCCCCAGTGTTCTCCGAAAACTTGCCTGTGCACTGCTGTGTTGCTCTCCCAGCAGATGTCAGGGTGGTTGATGTCCCCCATGAGAACCACGGCCTGGGATCGGGAAACTTCTGCTAGTTATCTGAAGAAAACCTCATCTACATAAATTGGTCTATGTAATCAGTGGTTCTCAACCTTTTTAGACACAAGGCACCTGCCTATAACTTTTGTGAATTGAGCAGCAACCCATTTCAAAGACTAAACTTATTTATTACAGTGCTTACTTTCTTGCAGAGAGGCCAGGCAGTGAGGGTATGGGAATGGCCAGGGAAGGAAAGCCTGAGACTGCCCCTATCTCTGCACCTCCTCACACATGACTTATCCCTTTATACTTGCTGCGACGCCCTTCAAAGGATCTCATGTCACCATGGTTGAGAATCACTGGTCTAATATAAGTCACTGTCTCATCTCACAAACTTTGCTTCCATAAATATTAAGAACAGGAGAAAGATTTCCAATAAACTGAAAAATAAGACGAACCTTTGCTGCAATCTCTAATCAAGTCTGGAACTTTTGGAGGCTCATCAGTTTTCAGCAAATGGGTGTTATATTTCTGTTATTTGCCCCAGCTAATTTTTCATTGTGCTACGATGAACATGTGGTACAAATGCCTGAGCTGCCCAGCTACAGCGGAAGGTGCAAATAGAAGGTAAATCATGATTCCATTTTTCAAAGACTTCAGGCTGGTTTTTTCCCTATGTTTGAAAGCTCAATCAAGCTGCATGGAGGATTTCAAAGAAAAGATGGCTGTTTCACAATAAAAGATGTGTAAATAAATGCTTTTTTGAAGAACTGAAACAAGTTACCCATGAGATCTCTGCAACATGGCAAGGAAAATCTGTGCGGATTGTGAGTTTAAGAGAGTGAGGCCCCTGTTGCACATGACATATATTACACGATTAATTTGTTAATTCATGCAGTAAATTTAGACGGGTCGCACATGCAAAGTAAAACCAGCCACAAGTGCAAAGTAACTTTCACACAGTTAACCAGTTCATTGTACAATACATTTAGATCAGTCACGGGTGCGAAGTTATTATTACACAATAAAAATGACTATCTGGCTATAAAAAGAGCTGAACAGCTTGTAAAGTTAGTGCTTGAATATGTGTAACAACTCTATAGCTGGTTTCTATCCAGTTTTAATTTGAACATGTAGCAGGGTGTTTAGGAAGAGAAACAGCAAATGAAACAAAGACTGTCGCACTAAAAGTACTTATTAGAGTAAAACAGGAAAATGATAAAAAAAGAAGACACCTAGAAGAGTAATAGATTGGGCCAGCTGAGAGAGAGGAGACTTTTCACGTCAGAAGTTAGTAATGCCTCCTAGAAATTAAGGCATGTCAAGTGAATGGTCTCACCTATGAACTGTTGATGATGTTGACTTTGAGCTGCAACCGACTGCTCTGGAGTACTGTGCAAACCGCTGTTGGAGCTGCTCTCTGCTACACCGTCCATTTTCTGCGTTGGTCTATACCTAGGAATTCAAAGCCTGGCTTTGCATTATGTAGCATTTAAATGTACAAATACACGGTATGCGTGTGTGCGCACACCAAAAAAAACCCAACACATACCAGTGGAACAGTTTTGCACTGGAAAAAAAAAGCATTGGTCATTTGATATGCGAGGATTCATTAATCCTTTTATAAATTATAAATTAAAAACAGATTTAGTAAATGGCTGATCAATCATCAGCATGCACAACAGGTCCACAGATTGTTTGCAAGCATGGTTTGTAATCTGTTTATGGAAACCTATAAAACCTTTTGTAAATGTGGTTGCAGCCATATCACATTAGCCCTATATTGGCTTTATGCTACACATTCATCGTTTATACAAAAGACAAGGATTTCTTAATGTCATGGCTATTATTGGATCAACTGTGTAGTTGGGCTAGAGTTAGACAAGCTTTCAAATGCCAGACATTTAGATGAAGAATGTCTTGCATTCAAAAGCTTGTCTAACTCTATCCCAACTATATAGTCGGTCCAAAAAAGCTATCACTCTAAATCAGCCTCGTCTCTCATAATTCCCAGACCATCACAGCTACAACATCACTCTTACGCTGCCGTTCAGCATCCTGTCAATTTAAAATGGACATGTAAATACATGTTTAAGTGCTGTTTTAAATCTCAAGAAGAGATTACTGGGGGGTTTTCCAGAGACAAGACAGGAACTCCTAACAAGGGAAATGAAGGGACAAGTGCACACCACTATTTCACAAATTTTTGCCACGGAGGACAGCCAAGTGTGGCCAGTGTTTTTAATGCTAATATATTGGCTGGATCTACACAATCTGTAGCACTGAATGAGTGGGTCAGCAGGAAACTAGACCTAAAGGTAATTTTAGCCCATTTTTCACACATGACTTTCATAAGAGCCTATGTGAAATGGATTATTATAGTCTATCGCCCATATTGTGTGTCTCCTAGGGATAACCCTGCTTCTCTCAAGAAACAAGGCAACTTATTTTGCAACGTCCCTAACATCCTTGTGACACACTGTAGGGGGGTTCACAAGAGGATGGAGCTGGACTGTTCTCAGTGGTGGCAGGTGACAAATGAGCAGTGGGCTCAAGTTGCAGCAAGGGAAGTTTAGGTTGGATATTAGGATGAATTTTCTCACTAGGAGGGTAGTAAAACACTGGAATAGGTTACTCAGAGAGGTTGCGGACTCTCCATCCTTTTCAAGACCCAGCTAGACAAAGCCTGGGCGGGGATGATGTAGTTGGGGCTGGTCCTGCTTTGAGCAGGGGGTTGGACTAGATGTGACCTCCTGAGGTGCCCTCTTTTTCTATGATTTACCCACATAACTAAAAACTTAATGGTACCAAAATCAAATCCGCTTATGTTGTCTCATGGGAGGAGACAAAAAGCAGAATAAATGACCTAACTATTATAGGTGTCCAAAATAGACCATTTTAATAGGTCATTTGACCCCAGTGCTCTTCCTGCCATGGCAGGGGTCGGACTAGATGATCTGGTCCCTTCCGACCCTAGAAACTATGAAACTATAAAAAACTCTGAAGCTGGCTTGGTCATCCCTTTGCTTTTGGGGAGCTACGGGAGTAGTAGCAAGAAGTCAGAGTGCCAAAGCTGGCAAAAGGAAATGCCAAAGTTGCCGTGTCACATGCCTTTTAAATAAAAAAAAAATTCCCTGGAGTGATCTAATGGGAGACTAACAGCAACCCATTTGATTTCTCACACTAGATGTTCTATAAAAAAAATATAATCAAGACTCCTTCTAATGGTTAAGCACAGATAATAATATGTAGCTGAGATCCTAAAAACACTGAGTCACTGGGACACAATAACAAGGATATAGTGTAGCGTTCACCATAGCAACAGGCAAGCTGAGTTCAAACCCCTGGCACCGAGCAGGCAAAAGGCAAGAAGAGCCAGCGGAGTCAAAACTTCTGCTGAAGCATCTTTATTCTGGCTCGATCTCATGTGTAGGATGGGTACTTTTACCATACAGCCATAGTTTATCACTTAAATCATACAGATGTTTTAATTTACTGACCTGCCCCATCCTAGCTTGTGGCTTCCCTGCCAGGAGCCAAACCTGACAATCACAAGCTCCTGGTGCTGTCAGAGATGGGGCCCAAGCGTTTGCTTTTTTTGGGGAGACCATTCTTCATGGGAGCTGGCATGCCTGCAGCTAGATAGGGTAAGCAGCACTGGGCACATACCTTTGTTTCTGGTGTACGGGCTGTTGCCTCATTGCCATGTACTGGGTGTCTTCCTGCAAGCGATTGAGCGGCGAGTCTGGCTTTAGACGGATCCCATAATAATGATATTTTGAGTTTCCTCTGAAAGTATAACATGAAAACCTTGATGTCAGATACCAATGAAGATGACATGTTACCCCCGCAATTTACTTTTAGGCCTTGGTGAACGAATTGACAGTACAAATGATTTGTTGCAACACGCATCTGTTTTCTGCTACATGTTGGAACCACTTTTGTCTGAACCTAGGTGCCAACTGTGAACAGATTTACTTTGTTCTATAAGCACGTCAGGACGCTAATTTAGTGGTGCACACATTTTCAAAATGTTGCCATATATAAGAACCTGGAGTTGATGCTGTAAGACCCTGCGTTTTGACTGTGATCAGGGATCCCTTTATAAGATTTCTTTGAACAGAGCACCCAGCTCTGCTTAAATGTGGTATCGCGTTGCAAAAAAGGATTCAGGATGTCTATCTAGCAGTGGGAGCATCTACACGTGCATTAATGCACCTTTTCCAATGCGCATTAAATTGAGTACCTCCAATGCAAGGTGTTGAACTAATGTGCATTAGGCTGCAGTAGCGCATTTACATTTTTTTAGTGATGCTTAATGTGCAGCAGACCATTTTACTGTGTATTTGTGTAATGTCACGGTTTATGTGACACTTTAATGGGCAGTAAAATAATCTATTGCGTATTAAAATGCACCAGAACATGCACCCAGCGTGTCTACTATTTTGTAGCTTAGACCCAGTCTAACCTTTTTTTCAGTCCACTTCATAAGGACTTTATCCAAGGACAGATAGCAGATTACCCAGTCAAAATACTTTGGGCCAGATTTAATACTTGAAATCAATGGAGGCTTAATCACTGACTGTAATGAGGAGCCAGACCTGTCCTTAAAATGGAGCAAAGGTCTCTAGGTCAGGGGTGGGCAAAATGTGGCCCGCGGGCTGGATGTGACCCACCAGGCCATTCTATCTGGCCCATGGGGCCCCTAAAAAATTTAGAAAATTGATATTTATCTGGCCTGGACTGCCTGTCCTGCAGCCCTCAATAGCTCGCCAAAACTCAGTAAGCGGCCCTCCACCTGAAATAATTGCCCGCCCCTGCTCTAGGTATTTTGGCCATGTTTGTGGCTGTGGCATCACCTGGATAAATGCTGTGTTTTAAAAGCACCAAAGGCCGATCCTGGCTGCATTGCATTCAACTCCCATTGGCACCAACAGAGCTGACTCATTCCAGCGACTGAAGAGTGTCGTTGGAAATGCTCTTGGCTGGTCCCCACCCGCCCACTTCTCAGTCCTTCCAGCATTATTTTTCCTCCTGCTGCAGTCACAGAGGGAGACATTTGCCCCTTCATTGAGCTCCCAGCACCAGCCTCAGACATGGGAAGAGTTGCTTTTAACATCAGTGTAACTGGGTTTGTTTGGATTTTTTTAATAGTGCAGTTGAGGTTTTAGTTCCCAGATGATTTCACCGTAATTTCTGAAGGATTTTATGCAAGACATTCTCAAGAGACCAAAACCATTTAGACTATAAGAAACAAGTGTCAGAATGCAAGCTGCTATTCGAAAGAATGCTGCAAAGATCTGGGATGCATTTTACCCTGTGATCTAAGTTGAACTTCAGGATTGGGTTTACACTGCTAAATAATATTCCTTTAAAGGGTCAGATTGCTGTATCTGAAATTAGATAAGCCAGCCGAGCTGCCCCTTCACCCAGGAAAAGAAAAATCTATGGAAGTTTCCAGCCCCATGTTTCCTGCTGTCTGTGGATTTTGTGCTTGGGGTGGTTCGTTTTTATGGATGAAATAAACCCATATGAGATTTTGAAAGGCTGAGACTTATTTTGCTCTGTTTGGTCAGTGAAGCAAAGGTGATGAAAAGATACTCCGCTAAGATTTCAGCATTGCACATGGCTATGTCAATTCGAGTATTCCCATGAACCGGAGTTCCTTGTAGAAGTACAGTAACCTACAAAGAAAAAATGTTACATGAACGAGATGGATAATCAACACGGCCATGGGCAAGAGAGGACTCATTCTAATTTAGATTCCAGCAAACGTTGCCAATTTGTAACTAAGGAGCCTCCCAGAGAAGTGCTCCCTCACTGCAGATGATTAGGAAAAGTTACAATTTGCTATCTCTGTCTCTTTGGCACTATATTGAAGAGACTGAACATTTCTTAAATCTAATGATGCTTTCACCCCCCCAGCCTCAGTCATTTAGAAAAAGTCCTGTTTGTGCATGGAACCCCTTCTTTCCCTGGGGTAGGAATGAAGGGGAGATTTTTTTTTTTAATTATTTTTTTTAGCTTTGTGTCGCTGCAATGAGTAATTTCGCCAACTGTGTATTAAACGCTCAGTTCTCATAATGTGAGTCAAATAGCTAATGCTTAAACCAATTAAAATGGGCTCAAGCCATGTCCGTGAACCTAAACAAACGACCTTAAGTTAAATAACTATTACATGTATTTATCTAGCTAGCTATCTCTGTAGGTGGTCATGAGAGCTTAATATTTCTGTTTCTGCTTGGCTCTACTCTACTCTTTACAGTCCACCCACCCTCTACTTCAATTGTTTTTAAAGATCAAATTTTCAAAAAGCACCCAGAGCCCGCAAACACAGGCCAAATTATTAAGCTC